GTGAATTCACTAACTACTAGTCTGAACCATGTTGGTAGATCCAGTCTATTTGGTTGGGGGTCCGCATGACTATCATAATCAATGGTTGGAGACTGTGGGTGATATGGCTCAAAATTGATCACAATGGCGTTGGTGTATACACTCTTTGTCTTCCCTTAAACTATAAGATTAAAATTATTTCATATGTTTCTTTCTTTCTGTACTATATCCTTACATATAATCTTTCCTTACACCATTGAGTTAACTGTTTCTATAAATCCGGTGTTCGTCTTGCTGTGCTAATAAGGTGTGGCAACTTGGGACGATGCATACATATGCCTGGTTCTACGTTGTAACTGACTGACTGACTAAAGAATAAGAGATGTGTTGATTACTTTTAGCAGTAGGGTTAATTAAATTCTTTTTTTAAAGAAAAAAAGAAGAAAAAAAGACCTAAGGGATAAAAACATAGTCCAATTGACTATGAATGCATCCATGACATCTCTTACTGACTCTCACTCTCTCTTAACATATGATATTGATTTAAAATATAATTATTTTGTTTAGATTAAGATTAGTTCATTAAAGTTATTCATTATTTGATTAAGATAGTAATGATTAACTATACCTGGATCAGTAATATTGAAATATACATGTATATTAAAATTTAATAAGAAGAAAATACTGCATAAAAGTTTTATCCATGATAATGAATTAGTGATTGATGTACTCTTGACTTGAATGCAATGAAATGGATAAGTTTCTATTAAATGAGATCAATAATGACACATAAATGAGATATTTACCTAGATAATAAGGCGTAAAGAATGATGTGGAAATGTTTGTTCTATGACTGTTTACTATACTATTTATAAAGCAATTGAATTTCGAAAACATTTGTCAAAATATAAATGAAAAGTACATTCTAACTTTTAGGTCCTATAGTCCATTAAATATCATATGACAAAATCGCCAATTTGAACACTGACTTTTATGACCTTGTCCTTGTACTAAAACAATGATGTGTTAATCAGCACAAGCAGTCTTGAGTTCACTCAGGCCTTATTGGTCCTATGAAAGAGTAACTTCTCGTTTAAACCAATCCAGTTCAGTTCAGAACACAAATATCAGTTTCGGCTTTATGAATCGTATATTTCAGACATACTTGGTTTATATATCAACAAACCAGACCGCATCACACCATAAAATGAGAAATAGTTATTATACAAGATCAAGCCAAAAGTTTCTATGGGTATGAGAGTAAATTGTATAATAGTAGCCAATAGATCAAATGAAAGCTTACAATAAGAGAAATATCAATATATATAATCTAGTTACTTAATAGTTAAGAATATATATAATAACAGCCCATAAATAGTTCCCAGAAGCTACCCATGATCAAATCTTCCTCGGACAGAACACTAACAAGAGGTTTCTTTTAACTTACAATCCTAGTGTACTGGATGTAAATGATTAATATAAACTCATTATAACTAAACGAAGGATAAATAACATAGAATATTACTTCTATAGGATAAATAATCATAAATGAATAGAAATCGACCATAAATACAATCACATTTCCACATCTGTACGATATGAATAAGAACTAAAGTGAACCGAAAAGAATACTTTGCACTATTCATTGTTATTTATACGTATCCGCTTAGGATATACGCATATTGTTAGCAAAAACTGATCAAAACTCAATTCTGAATATCAATAACAGGATAATATACACATATTCTTAGCAATAAACAGTTTGGTAAGTTAATTTCGTAATATGTACCAAGTTTTTATATGACTGTCAATTGGTTTCACTCGAGGTAAACTAAGGAGTATGGACAATGTCCTTTGTAAGTCATCCACTTTGACAGTATATATCGAGATGAGAAATCTGAGAGACAGTTACTCGAAATAATAATAATAATCTATAGTTTAAAATTTTTTTTACAGTTGAATTCAAGAGTCGATCTAAGCTAGACCATCATTGAAAATCTGGAAGCACTGAACGGCCGTTCCATCCTTGCATGGAACTCCTTTGCAGTGTACATCCACGATCCCGGGACTCAAACCTAGGACTTTCAGTTTTACTAGCGAACATTTAACCTCTAGACCCCTGAACTGGCATCCAACGATATTAATGTCGTGAATTGGCACTTTTGAAAAGCCCCACACTTTAAAGAAACGGCTTTCCAGTACTTCCAGGCTTTCAATGATGGTCTAGATAAGATCAACTAATGAATTCAACTGTGAAAATACTACAATCTCCACAAATCTCTATATTGATAAAAGAAAAAAAACTTTAAACTAAAATAGAAACATTGAAGAATTCCATTAAATAGAATTACATACAAAGAATTAAGATCAAAGTATGCTATAATTACAAAACTCTATGTAATTACAGTTCAATCTGATCTCTTCCTTACTGAAGGAAATACATGAATATTCAAAGAAAAAAAGGGAAAAGGACACAGGAATACAATAATGAGAAGTTATAGGAACAAATTGTATGAATTACTATAATATAAGTCGAAAAATTAATACTTTCCAAATATTTAAAACTTATTCACTAGGTGTACAATATGTATACTCAGTTTTAAATCTTACATTTTATATTCTGGATTATAATAATAATAGTGTTAAAATTACTTCAGGTACACAGTATGTTATTATTCGTTTAAAACAAATGCGTGGAGTAGTCGCTTAGGTGAGACTATAATTTATGGACGAACCAATCATGTACAGGATATCAAGTGTCGAATTTTGGCGCGAAATTCACTCAATCATTTGGTTAAATATAATTTTGGCATTATAGCTTACGTTAGTTCGTGATTAATACCCTAAATCGAATTTCTAATCTTAATCATCAACTGTAAATCATAATTCTAAATCGTCACGTGGTCCTGGTTATCAGGTGGACACTCTCAAGGTCATCCATAAATTATAGTCTCATCGTCTCTTGATTAGAATTCGGTCTCTAAATTAACATGAACAACCTTATAATATAACATAACAACGTTAAAAATTCTAATGGCTAAGGATAGACTATCTCAATCAGTCATTCATAATCAACGTAGAACCTGCCACATATCAGTAACGGTTCAGGTTGTCACAACATATTAGCATAGTAAGATGAAATTATCAAGATAAATCTCAGAGTAGCGAAAGTAATGACAGTATCAAAGGTAGTAAAAAAAACAGATTAGACTCATGAAGAAAGAATGTATTCGTACAATAAAAAAAATATCTAAAATAATTTTAGAGCTTAATATCAAAAGGAAAACAAAAAGTGAATACACTTGATTCATTGTGACGAATTCTGAGCCATATTGCTCAAAGTATCGAATGTTGTCAGGCATATGTAATACACATTCTAGCCACCTCAGTCGACAAAGCTTCACTGCCCCAACAACTAATTTACTAGACTTACTTAGCACTGTGTTCAATAAGATTTGGGATGAAAAACAAGTACCAAAATACTGGAAAGAAGAACTTCTGATCGAAATACCAAAGCAAGTGTGGTAACTACAAGGGCATCACTCTTCTCTCAAGACCAGGAAAAGTCTTCAACAGGGTATTGTTAAACAGAATGAAGGAATTCCTAGACACCCAAGTTCGAAACCAACAGGCAGTATTCCGTAAGGATAAATCGTGTACAGACCAAATCACAACTCTACCGATCATTCTGGAACAATCAATTGAATGGAACTCACCATTCTACATCAACTTCATTGACTACGAAAAAGCATTTGATAGCATGGATAGAACAACACTATGGAAGCTTCTTCGACACAACGGCGTGCCTCAGAAGATAGTCAATATCATACAAAATTCCTATGATGGGTTAAACAGCAAAATAGTGCATGGAGGACAGTTGACAAAGTCGTTCGAAATAAAGATCGGTGTCAGGCAAGGTTGCTTACTCTCACCCTTTCTCTTTCTCCTGGTGATCGACTGGATCATGAAGATGTCAACATCTGAGGGGAAGTACGGGATACAGTGGACATATAGAATGCAGCTGGACGATCTAGACTTCACAGATGATCTGGCTCTTCTATCGCAAACGCAACAACAAATGCAGGAGAAGACGACCAGTGTAGCAACAGCCTCTGGAGCGGTAGGTCTCAATATACACAAAGGGAAAAGCAAGATTCTCCGATACAACATAGTATGCACCAATCCAACCACAATTGAAGGAGAACATTTGGAAGATGTAAAAACCTTTACATATTTGGGCAGCATCATTGATGAACACGGTGGATCTGATGCAGATGTGAAGGCGTGGATCGGAAAAGCAAGGGTAGCATATTTACAACTGAAGAACATCTGGAACTCAAAGCAACTGTCAACCAACACCAAGGTCAAGATTTTCAATACAAATGTCAAGACAGTTCTACTGTATGGGGTGGAAACCTGGAGAACTACGAAAGCCATCATCCAGAAAATACAGGTTTTTATTAACAGCTGTCTACACAAAATACTTCGGACCCTTTGGCCAGACATTATTAGCAACAACCTTATATGGGAGAGAACAAACCAGATCACAGCGGAGGAAGAAGCTCTGGAAGTGGATAGCACACAGATTGAGGAAAACACACAACTGCATCACAAGGCAAGGCGTCACATCAGATCGTCAAAGCCAAAAGAGAAGGGGAAGACCAAAGAACACATTACGCTGAGAAATGGAGACATGAAAAAAATTGGACAGAACTGGAAAGGAAAGGCTAGGACAGAGTGAGTTGGAGAATGCTGGTCAGCGGCCTATGCTCCATTGGGAGTAACATACGTAACTAAGTAAGTAACTTAGCACTGTGAGTTTAACTTCATCATTACTCACTAAGCGATTTTAAGATACACGAACAATGTTTCGAAGGCATTTGTTATCAAATATTACTTAAGTATGAATATCCTCTATAGACCTATAACAATTCTTACTTTATTCAAACAATACTTATATAATACATGAAACAAGTACAATTTATATATGTAAATGTAAGTGTAAAAAGAAAGAAACTTACGTGTTAAAGTCATTCCCAACTCTAAACATTTTCGATAACGACAATGTGGGCATTTACCACGACCGGGACCTTCAACACGACATCTACCACCCATTGGACATATTGATTCAGAAACTGTAGATCCAATTTCAGAATTTCGTAATCTGGCAGCTGTATGTCGCATGAAAAATTTCTATAATCAAAGAAAATTATTACAGTAAATTAATTTGTGTTTCTACTTTGTCAAAAAATTAAATATTAACATTAAAGATCATGTAACTCAATAGATTATGGAACCCAATAATTAAGTATAAACTTTATGTAATTACCTTTCGTCTATTCATTTAGTATTAGTCTACAACAGAAACCAAGGTAGGTGGAACAAATTTGTAATTTTATAATTGAACTACTAGTGTCTCAATCATCACGTTACCAAATATATATGGAGTATCAGAAGTGGTTTTATGGAGATTGTAGTAATTTCAACAGTTAAGATCACGAGTTAATTGAATCTAGACCACCATGGAAAACCTGGAAGCACTGGACGGCCGCTTCGTCCTATTGTGGGACTCCTCAGCAGTGTGCATCAGCGACCCCGCCCCGCGGGATTCGAACCCAGGACCCACCACTGAGTCGGCATTCAACGGTTTTAATGTCTAACTTCAACTAATCCACAAATTGATCGACATATCCACCATTGCCATCAGTAAGTTACTATTTCACAACTGGATGCGCACTGCTGAGGAGTCCCACAATAGGACGAGGTGGCCGTCTAGTGCTTTCAAGTTTTCCATGGTTGTCTAGCTGCAATTGACTCATGATCTAGACTGTTGAAATTATATGGAGTAATCCTTTTTTTAAAAAAACTAATACAAATTTAATGTAAAATGAATTAAATATTATTTTCATTTCATTCCTACCATTCCCTTTTATTGATTATCTCTCATTGTACTTATGGTAAAGTGTTGCATAACTTAAGTCAATATTACAATTTTAAGATTGTTTATATTTCTATAACTAACTATTCTTGATACATTGAAAAAAGCATCTTACCAAATGTTGCGTGATGCAGGCCAATCAACAAAAAAAAAGAAAGATTTTCTTTTAACTAACCGAATGGAAAATTATGTAAACGTTCTGGATCTACATAAATGTTAATGTAGGGAATGATTAAATTCATTAGTTGTTTAAATCATGATAAATATGAGAGTTAAGAAATGAAACACTCAGATCACAATTGATTTCTAAAATGAACTGAACTCAAAATTAGGTCAGGAGAATGTTGTCAACTTAAAAACTAGTTTACTCTAGATTATACATTAAAGTTTATCATCATCATCATCATCATCACAGTAATTGTGAGAATAGCCTAATACATATTATACATTTCATTTCATTTGTTGTTACATTTAACATAGTCAAATCAAAAGATTTACAGACATCATGAACATAATTGTAATAATGAAACACTGGATAGGATGTCAAAACCGAATACTTTCTGTTCTCCTTTATTATGATCATAATAATGTAACTACTCAATATGGAAATATGATTTGATTGGTTAGTAGTTGAACTATTTACCATTTATCAATTAACAGGTCACTGGTTTGAGCCCACATGGCACCTAGGTCTAAGCAGCTAGGTAGTAATACTAACCAAACACATAACCTACTACTTGTCAGATGAATTACAATATTTATGACAGTAATTAAGGGCATAGATTAGTGCTTTGAAGTTTATAAGCTAATGATCTAACCGAAAGACATAAACTAAAGTAGATAAAATGATATTAGAGGAGCATGTATCTGTGCACGATATTCAAGTGTCCTGATAATTAAATCATTGGTTACATTACTTAGTGACATACATATTATTATTTGAGATTACAAGTCAATGATAAATTTTTAAATTACAAAAGGAAACTTTCAGGTAACCACACCCCTTTATCTATTATGACTAAATAATACAATTCAACTTATACATGAAGTTAGTAACCATGTAATTCAGTAAAAAGAGTAACATCACCACTACCACCACCACAATTAAATTGCATATTTATCATCAATTCACATTAATCAATGAATTTTCTTTTGTATTTGTGCATATATATAAGAGAATGATAAACATGTGATTTTGTTCACTTGATTCTACAATCAAATCAACTAGATTTATATGTAATTCAAATAATAATAAAAAAGTAATGCTGAATATTACAAAGTGATTAATCAAATGTTTAAGGTGGTTGTTGTTCAAGAGAGAACTTTGATATATACATATATACATATATACTTAAATAGATTGTCCTATACATACATCATGAATAGTGATGTTGTTCATTTTGTCTCAGGTTTTATGTTTAGACTATAGTATTTATTACAACATATACAAACTACATTTTAAACTTTCATTTCCTGTAATATCATGCAACTATCCATCTTTGCTTATAACTATCGGTAATGTTATTAATAATAATAATAATAATAATAATAATACATTATAAAAACTAATGTATATCATATTAGTGAATCATATTAAGGTAATAATATCTTCATGAAATTGTTTAACTATTCATTCATTTGAGAAGAAACACAATGTAAAAGAGAAATACTTGTGCAATTAGGATCTACAATGAAATATTACGAATAATAATAATAATAATAATAATAATAATAATAATCTAAATATGAAAAAATAGTTGAAGTACAAAGAATATAAGACAAGAAAGTTTCCCTCGTTTCTTTTTTTTTCTTTTTTTTGTGTTGGTATTAAATGTCAACTTCATTGTTGATCTTTTTTCTATTTATTTGCATCTATGTATGTTTAATTATGTGAACACGTATACACGTATACACGTATATACACCATAAACAAGAACACAATTTTGAATAATAATAATAATATCATTTATAACAATAGTTACTTTTAACTTACCTACCCCATACATACATGTAAAACACAATAAGAAAAGATATAATTTATTCAATAATTGATAGAATATACATTTTCATTTATACAATTGCTTAATCTCTAAAATTATATACAATAACATTTTGAAGTGGTCAAATAATGATCACTGAAGACATGAAATAATAATTTACAAATGATATTCGCTATAGATTGACTTAAGTTAGGGTATCATTAGAAACTAGGAAATACTGGACACTAACAATCTCCACCTCATTAAGGAAAGAATGTAAAACCTTTAAGCCTCATAACAAATGAGATTTGTGGGGAGCATATGTATTTAGGGTCTCCTTGTACCAATATATATATGTGTTAAAATAAATAAATAAATAAAGAGACATGTATTTACTTGAGACAATGGATAAATGGTTGCACAACCATTCATGAATCGATTGAAGTTAAACATTAACACTGTTGGATGCCTTGACAGTGGTCTAGAGGTTAAGCGTTCGCGCGCGAAACCGATAAGTCTCGGGTTCGAATCTCGCGAGACGGGATCGTGGATGCGCAGTGCTGAGGAGTCCCACACTTTATTATTTACTTTAACACATAGATATTGGTACAAGAGGATAGCAAATACATATGGACCACAAAAATCTCATTTGATATGTGTGAGGGCTGTGATGTTGACCGGGTGCGCAAACCGAAGAAGGTGGTTTTCTTAGGGGGTCACACGCGGAGCCTTCGACATGAAGGTCTGATCCACAAGGCAGTGGAGCATCGTAGGGAGATGCAGTCCCATGATACCCGGTGATCAAAGATTGGTTCATACTTCATTTGTTCCTTCAGGATGCTGGAGCCCATGTGCACCATTGGTTTGGGTTTTCCCACCCCCCTAGGTGAACTCTCCATGTCCACCAACCCGGTTAAAGCACCGGACATTCGTTTCCGTACTCTCAATTTCGTAAACAACAGTGATGCCGTGAGAAGGCAGTGAGTAGGACTTCCCTGGCAAAGGCTATATACGTGTGGCCATATGAGAGCATTTCAAGAGGGAGAGTGAACTATCCACACTCTCGGCTATATCAGGGCAGTCCCACATTAAAACGAAACAGTCGTTTAGTGCATCCAAATTTTCCATAGTGATCTAATTTCAATTGACTCATAATCTCAATTATTAAAAAAAGTATATTTTAGTTGACTTTGACTCTTAACGAATAATATTCAATCTCTAATTCATGACAATTACAACTTGAATAAAAGAACAAAATTTCGTAAGATTTAATAATTTCAATTTTGTTAAGTATTAAGCTATTAATCCATTATTGTAAAGTATTGAATTGGACTTAAAAATGGTTCTTTAATAAAAATTTATAAAAAAAGGAAGAAATTACCATATACAATTCAAACACACATTATTTATCAACTATATGTTGTGATTAGTGAGATGTTGGAGAAGATTTATAGCTCAGGTGGATGATTTTGATGGAGTTTTGTTTCTCTGAGCTCAGAGAAACAAAACTCCATCAAAAGCTGTGATTAGTATTAGGATGATAGTGATATAGGAGTTCAGTAATTCGTAATTGTAGATAAGTATTTATTTAACAATGATATTTTACATTTGGGAGAAAGAAAAGTAATTATGTAAGTTAATCCGGATTAAACATTGTTGAAATTGATTATCACGAAAGTATTATCATTTGAAATACTAATTCGATAAAAAAATAAACGGTTTTGAGGTAGTAAAGAAAGTTCACCATTCAGGTCGATGATTCTGGTACAGTTTTGTTCTCCTAAGGTGGATTGTTTAAACTAGGGATCTTTCATGTTTTCGTCTGAACAACGTCATTTGATTTGAGTATATATATACCTTATATGGTTTAAATTTCACGTTATGTTATGGTCGAACATCTGTTTTATACCGACCCACTCTAATAAGCATCCAATTTTTCTTTAAAGCGAACAGTTCAACATAATAATACTGTGATAATGAACCAATCAATGTTAGACCACCATTGAAAATATGGAAGCACTGGATGGCCATTTTGTCCAAGTATGGGACTGTTCGACAGTGCGCATTTACGATCTCGCTCAACCTCTAGGCTAATAATGTTAACTGATGAAATAGGATTTGAATCATCAACCAGTGATAATCTATATAGAATTTGGTACGCATTTTTGTGTTGGTTTATGTTGTCATTTCAGATTAACATGACGAGAAAAAATTACCGAGATCAAAAGTGGAGGAGTCGAAACAATGTAGTAGCAATAATAGTAATAATTTGAACG